GATACCGTGAAGGTACAAACGTGCGAACGTGTCTCGATTCCAAATTCACGGCTTACGTCGACCTTGGACCCACGTTGGAATCTGATGTCGTATCTATAGACTGAAAATTTGACTTTCAGATACAGATTCAATGAAGGTCGGACTTTACTACGGGGAGAATAAAGTACCTTATCCTTTAATACTGTTGGATAATCCAGATATATTTACACTGACAGTGTGTCTATATATTTGTAACGCTATATATGTTTGTCCTTTCATTTTTGGATTCTTGTCCGAAAATAATGCTAGGATGATGTTCAACGTCATTGTCCACCCTTTGAAGGATTTTCCAAACTGAAAGAGCAGTTTCAAACTAAAAAAAGCGTTCTCGACTTACTTTCTTTTTTACAGCAATATTCAAGCCCACAATCACCCTCGATAAGCAAGGAGACTAATGTATGCGCGGTCACACGCACTCACGCACGCACTGGCGCTGTCGTGTCGGCTCGAGTGTCAGATGCAACGAAACGGCTTTAAACTACGGGCCAGCCCAGACAATTTCTCGAGTTTTATAAAACGGATTTGTATAGCCGCAAGCCTCGAAAAACTTTTACGTGCCACCCCTCTACCAACCCCGTACAGTACGTCTACATAATTCCCATAGTGACGTAAAGATTGCCTAAAAATCCATAATAAAATTTTGGGCAATATAAAAAATAATTTACAAATTTTTCTCGATATTTCTCAACAAAATTTAACCGTCAAAAACTTATAAATTTTTTTTCCAAAAAATCTCAACATCGTTCATAAGTTAAAACTTTATACGTTCGTCATACACGTCTGTTCTTTATCTTTTTCGTGAAATCTATCCAAGAATAAGACACCCTCCAATGGGCATGGGTTTTCAATAAATGCCCTCCCTCGCCCCTCCCAGCATTGTGACTGCAAGAAGATAGATAAGGTATGCGCCGAGGGGTTGAAGCTTGAAGGAAGATCGTCGACAGGCTTTTGGGTGACGGGGCTGGATCGCATATTAAATTGTTCAGCTCGCGCAATGTCGCCTCAGCAACCTTCCCAAAGAAGAACCCTCACACCCCAGGCCACCCAATACGTAGACTTACGCATACCCTCGAAAGGTACCTTCGTATATTGGCAACTTGTTAATATACTTTAATAGTAAAGGCGCATGGACGCCGGCGTACTCGCGCGACGCCGAAGAATCGATCAGACGAGAGAACAATGCGTGGCTGAAAGCCGAACTTCGACTACGTCCTTTCTCCTTGTCATTATAACGTCTGCTCGAGGACGTCGCTAAATTCCTGTCATTATCGTTATATTTCCTTTCTTCGCTATTTGCATTCCCTTTTATTACACTTTGCTCCGACTTCGACGGGATTTTCTAAACTTAAAGACATCTGGGATACCGTACGATCACTATATGTATATATATATTGTATATCCCAATATGAAATACGTAATAGGCCAATTACATTTCTTTCAAATAAATTCAAGTATTTACCTTCTATGCACTGTCGTCGACATTGAATATAAGAAATAATAAAATAATCTATATACATATAATATATATTTAATGACTGACTGATAATCTTATCAGTTTATTATATATCCTTATTGCGTCTAGTGATATATATGTATATCTATATATAAGCAATGTGTTTGATTTATAATGAATATAATAAATATCGGAGCTGGATAGGAGACTCAGATCTTGTCTAAGAAAATCCATTGAGGGTCTTGCCACCCCATGTACTACCAGACACCATAGCCATGTAGAAGGTTCACGGGTGCACCGGCATAGCCAAGGGGTCGTGCCAAAGTTCGTCGCTCGTCTCCAGTCTAGACGGCGATAGTACATAGGCCCAAGAGTAGGTAGGTAGGTAGGTAGGTAGGTACCTACTACCTACTAGAAGTACGGTGCTGTGTGCTGTAGGTATGCGCTGTGTTAAGAACCCGACTATCGGGTACGCAGGACACGGTCGTGGATGGATGTTCTTAACCTCCCTTGAGCGCGGAGCTTTCCTCCATGGCAAAAAGGAAAGTCCGCAGAAACGTATGCCGGGCTTACGAGCTGTTCACTTAGTGAGACTCTTATCAATAATTGATCGAGGATCTAATGAAACTTAATTAGCGTCAGGTTTGGTTTTGCAAGAGAAAACACTAGAGTGTAAATATATACATTAGATGATTAATAAGTACGATATAGTAATTTTAAGATTTAATATGAAAATTATAATTAAAAAAAGATTATGATTAATGAACAAATTTTTTCTCAGTTTTCAGTCCGTTAGTCAAATGTCTTTCGGAAATGACGTTTTTCTATGTTTCCCGATGTATGATGCAATATTTTTATTAAATACATGTTAAATTTATTGACATATCACTCACTCGGTCCGGTAGAAAAGAATCTTCGTGAAAATTCATCGTTGGTAACTATTAATAGAACTTTTTGATGTCATCACTTCCCGTCGCCGCACACTTCCTGTCCATTCATTTTCAAAGCTTCATCTTTGCCGAGTTCTTCCGCCAAAATTCATTTCCGTACAATTTCACCTGTACCATAGAAAGCCGTATCAGCAGAGCTAACGTCTCTGATGAAAAAAAAGGGACTGAAGAAAGAGAGAAAAAAGGAGAACGTAATATCCTGCGGACGAAATCAGTAGTGTCTGTGCGAGCGCCATTATCCAGAATGGGATTGGCCACTATCACGTAAAACGGGAGCCGACGCGATTATAGGCACCCGCGCAATCTCGTTTCCCGAATACATCGAATAAATTCATAAGTTCGATTGGTCCCTAATATCCTTTACCGCTAATCCACCTTCTATGGCCATTTAAAACTGATTAGGATCACATAGCACCTTTTCGAAAGGATCCTACATTAAAGGATACTTTTTAAACAGACACTGATAACGCGCAAGATAACTGCGGAATTTAGAAAAATTAAATAGTCAAGAGAACCTTAATTAAATCAGCAATAAGTTAAAAAGATATAACAGCTAAATAGTAACAAGCCTAATAACAATAAATTACATAGCATAAATCATGACCTATAAAAAGATAGTTCTTACAAAGAAACAATACCAACCTCGTTTACGCGAATGCTTGAAGAAAAAGTAACCGTACGGGTACCCGATACGAGTTTGCCATAAATACCAAGATTTCGTAATAACACTCAGTTTCCGAAGCTCGTAAAGTAAGCACAGGGTAGGTGGTGGTTATCGACAATAGCAATTACCGCCTCGAAGAGAGATTAACAACCCTTGCCTTTGTTTCGATAGAGAAAGAAATTGTCCGTTATGGGTTTTACACAGCCATTTCTAAGATCGCGATCACGTCGTTAAACAATATAACAACAGAGCAACGTATGTACGTAGATTCACAATTAATTCAATATCAACTACTAAACGTTAAATATTAAATAAAAATTATCAAAAGCAATTCATATATTTATTGTCGATATTAATACCATGAATATTCAAGAATCGCCATAGACTTACGTATTACAATAGAAGAGAGAGTGAAGGAAGATATGCTTCTCTACCCATGTGACACTGCGGGCATGATGCGCATGCGCAAAACATTGTACAAGGGTAAACGAGCGAGTGAGTCAGATCCAGTGTATATCCCGTAGTGGATTGGTTCTCCCTAGACTGTCGTCAGTCTCTCGGCGTCCACGAGCCGTGGATCACCTCTGTGTATTCGGTGCACGGTGCGTCGCACAGAACGAAAAAGCATTAGGCAAACGCGCTGTGAGGACTGACGAAGCAAATAAGTTTAAAAGACATTGCGTATAGTCGTGGGGATACGTGGTCCACGTAAAGGGTGTGGTATTTCCAAGGGACAATTAACAAAAACATAACTATCACATGATGCTCGATCTGGAACAGGAAACTGTTCCTCAGGAAAATTTATTGTAGCATATCTTTTGGAGGTTAAGTTGGCGGCATTTTTACTTGTTCACGATACACATGCAGTCCCAAATTATTTATCTTACCGGTCTTTTATTTTCTAGTCGTATCTGTCTAACCTTAATGTCCATCCTTGTACGTTCCTTGTGATTTACTTTGTGCTCGTACAATCGTGTGTAATATTATTACTACACCTTCCTCGAGTGCAACGGCAAGGATCAGAGCATTGACGTGACAAGCCGTTGGAAATAAAGTAGCACAGCGCTCGTTAAGCACGGGGTGTGAACATCTGTTTGTTTCTCTCGACTTTCATGGCATCTGGGCCGAAGATCGGCGGATACATAAATCAGAATTCTTCAGAGTCTGAATGCTCGGTGAACAAGAGTGCGAAGAGGCAATAGACGGAAGACAGTCTAACCTACCGGCTGAAATCCGGTCATGAGGTTTGAAGAATAAATGTTTGAAAAATTATATTTCCCGCCGTCAGCGTGGCAGACTTTTGTTTTATGAATTTCGCGCGTGCACGGGAGCTGTGTTCGTCGAGTGTATACAAAGGAGGAAAAGGGAGAGACGGAATTACAAATGGACTATTGATATTCGTATACAGAAAGGACAGTTTGGCAAGATCGTGAATAATAGACTGTACAGTGAAGGGAATCCCTGGTTGAAATCGCAAACTGTTATTATTCTCAGTAAACCGCAGCTGCAGCCACGAAAATAGGCGCAGCTGCATCGGACAGGCTCGCTCGAAGGTACGTGGGGATCTACCCCCGGCGATAACGGCTCGACTCGTCGTCGTTGAAGGGCGACGAAGGCCACCGAGCGAAACTAGTATAAGGGACAGATAGGCAGGCAGGGTGGCCGCACGAGTGCACTCTTGGGGAGCAGCAGGAGGGGTTTCCCCCCCGGCCCCCAAACCTCGAGGGGAATGTCACCCCGGCACCGTGGGAGCACCTCCTCGGCATACAAACCCACCCCCAGCCGCATCAAAGACTCACCATCTCATGGGCACCAACCTCACTAAACAGAGCAGGGTGAGTCTTTTTTTTTCGCTCCTCGACAATTCTACAATCCACTGCCAACAATTACTTACCGTTGCATTATCCTTGCCAAAAGTTTACAGCACGATACGGCTATACGTGTGCGTTGTTATGCTTCGGCTGACTGGTGCAAAATGATTTCCCGTGTCTGTCAGGAGCGACACGTGGCTCTGAAAACAATTTTTATTATTGTAGGCAGAATAAGTGATTATTTTATTAAAAACATTTTTCATAAGAATTATTATTAATTATTTATAGGATTTTGAGATTGTTTAGTAAACTAAACAATTTTTACAGTCAATACCAAAATGCTTGGCAATCCATTTTCTAGGGAGAATGACCCAGACCCAAGCGTATTACAGGAAGTTCTTGCGTAACGAGGCTACGTGAAATAAGATCCACATACGATCCTCCGAATCCGGCATAAGTCCCAACTTTTTTTATTCTCTCTCCCTTACTCCCTCTTTACAACAAACTGATGCAACTGCAAATGACGCAAGTGTGGGAACGACATTCAGACGCTGCTCCAGCTTCCACGTGATCTCGGTTAATTTTAGTCCCTCACGCTTTGTCCGTCATCCGGATGCGAGAGACGTGTCCAGATTGACACGTGCCCAGACACAGATAACTTCTCAACATCCCAAGTAACTACACTGGATGGCATAAGTTCACCTAAGTAAGTGAATTGATGTTATGACTAACCTAGATAAATTTGTGTCACCCAGTGTATCTACCGGAAACGAAATATGAGAAATGAAAACAAAAAATTGCGCTCAGCAGTATATCATCTTAAAAGTAAATGCCCATGTTTTTCATTTACAACCCTCTTATTTACCTACCCTTAGCATCATTCTGCTTGAACTCCTTAGAAAATGAAACACGCTTGGCACTGTGTAGCCGGAAGTATACACAGTGAGCATCAAATTTACGTCTGATACGTGGCCGCCATTTCTCACTATAATTTCTTCAAGTAAATAGTTTTCATTCAAATTGGCATGGAAAATTGTTCTGGTTATTACACTACGTGCATGGTTAACGTCGAAGAACCATATGCCAGCTATAGTCTGCACGTTTTTTTTTTTCCCCATATATCACATGTCTTATCCATTTATTAATAACTTCCAGTCTGCTTTCTGTCGGTAATACCAGAAAATGCATTTCAGTCACAACCAGTTTCTCGCTTGAGATATCTTACGTCTACCAGTTGATTAGAGTTCGAGAGTCGTAATCTCATGGGGATGAAAGTGCGTGGCAAAAGTTGGGACAAGATGCTTTTACCTTCTTAAGTCAAAAGTGTCTCGCTAAATTTTTCAGTTTTATCCTTACTTCAGATTATCTCAAGGGATTCCTCAAGTTTCGTTAGGATCCCTGAAAGTGTCTTGGGAAAACATTTGTTTGGCAGGCGATAGTTTACCAAGTAGTACCGATACGTACAATGTGCTCAGGTTTTGACGTACGATATATGCACTTATCTATTTAAAAGGATACCTAAGCAAGTTTTGTGAGGAAGTTTTACAAAAGTTCCTTCAATGAAATTCCGCCTAGCACAATACACTTTATCGTATAGACGTACGACTTCGATATACGTAAATTTCTTTCTGAGACTTCTATTGAAATCTGATGGCAGTATAAAATAAATATTTAATAAAAATATAAAGAGAGTTTTCATCGACTTCTATACTATATATCTCGATTTTTTAAGATTTAAGATATATTAATCGACCCGATAACGTCGAAAGTTTTGAATTATACTGAACATATAGTACTAAAGGAGAAAAACCAATGGGAATTAAATAATTTAATTGATGACGCATTCCCGCTGAATAATTTGCGACTAACAACGGTAGACAAGGAAATTAAAGCAATTCGTACAATAAGTTTAACCTGTTACAGCCGAGAATCAAGTTAAAAAAAACCGGAAGTGCCCGAAGCAGTGATTAAAATCAAAAGCAGCTGTACTCAGGAGTCGTGTAGAATGAAGTTAAGGAAAAAAAAAAAGAGTAAAAATATAATTTTCAAAAGTCAAGCGACACCTGCGCAACACGTCCAAAAGTTAGCTTTGTGTCAGTTGGAACGACCAGGAACGAAACGACCCCTATAGAAAGTGACTCACACAAAACCTACGTAGTAAAAGGGACGTCACTTTCAACACCTTCCGCCATGAAAAATCGATAGCTCTACCCACGACGATACCTCAAGTTCAAAAGTAAGCAAAAGTATCACGGATCGATTGACGAAACAAATTATCAGGGTCACGCAATCGAATCGAAGGAGTAGATTCACATCGGTATAATTACATCCCCTAAATACAAGTCTGACTAGGAGCCTCAATAATTCTACTTGACAGCACCCTGTCCAATGTACATAAATAAAGATACACCGTACGTACTACAATTTTATTTTTCCCAGAAAATTTCCAAGGACGCTTTACGCGCCATTTGTGCCGAACGTCGTTAGCACCGATAATAACCAGACTGGTGTAACGGGCCAGCGATAATAACAATAGTCGGTCCGTATGAAAGATATTGACAGTGGCGCCATCTACGGGTGATAGCAGTTACGCCGGAACTACAGACTCTGGCGCGCGTCCGTAAGGATTTAAGGCCGCCATAAATCCTCCCAGCTTCATCCCTCCCGAGATCCTTGCCGGCGTGGTGGTCAGACGGCTTTTACCAGATTGTACTTCTCGATACCCTCTTACCAGCAGGATCCTCCTATACCTTGGTCCTGCTAACGCCTCCACACCCTCGATCACCCTTACCTTTCGAAATCTCCCTCACCGCCTGATTTCTTGCCACATTCCTTTCATCTCCCCGATTCTCCACTTCTCGTCCTTTACGAGCTCATTACATGTCGACTCCATTTTTTTGGATTCAGTCCAAATCCAATTCGTCTTGCACACGCATGTACGGTCATACCAAAAGCCTGAAGAACAGATCCGAAAGAAATGGTCGTTTTGAAAAATGACAATACAAAAATTGTTCCATTTTTTTTTTAAATCAATAAAATAACGTATCAAGTTTGAATTAGTTTTCAAATTTCCAATTTATTCATATCCGGATCGCACGTACTAGTTACGTTATCGGTTGAGCGTGTGTTTAAAAAATTGAAAAGAAAAAAGAAAAATGTACGAATTCACAGTCCGAAGTGCTGTCTGTCTCTGCCCCCAATGATTTTTCAGGTTAAATCGCGTGAAATACGGCTCTCCGCAGGTCTCTCGAACAATGCAATTATCGATAGGGTGGTCCGTGCCATTCGTTTGCTTCCCTATCGGCTGCGCGATTCAGGAGGATGCAATCAATGTAGCGTAGCGTAGCGCGGCGGCACTTCGATTTAATTCATGAATAATTCCACGGCGAAGATCGAGTAGCATTGTTCTCCGTGTATCCACGGTGTTCTTTGATTATACATACTCATTGAACACTGCCGGCATCTGAGTCGCGACACGCTTCGACGAATCCGAGGTTAAACATCACGCTAAAGATCACGATAATAATATATATCCCAACGTTTGTCTAGCCGTGGGTGCATAAACTGTACCCAGTTGCATACATATAACAATGCAACCAGATACCCGTGTAATGATCTCCTATAATGATTGCTAATAAAGAAGAAAAGAAAGAAGAAAAATTTATATTTCAAAATCAATAACCTGCCTACATATAGATATACATGAGAATAGCAATGAGCCATTGGCCTCGTACAAAACACTATAATTACAGCGGCGCACGATGATCAAAGGTCATTATCGTTGATGAAGATCCCATCTGGACTAAGAAATCCAATACGGCTTCGGCATCGTTCTCCGTCGTATATACTGTAGTATAGAAGTTCTATAGGATAATCGTTAAACCTACTTAGACTTTAAAGTACACGTGACAATTCGACGATGGCCCCATCTGTCGGCCAAATAATTCATTGGCATTATAAACGCACGGTCGTGTACTTGTGTATTCTATTGATAAATATTGATAGTACCCAAGAGATTAATACATTCGCTAGAGGACTATTCGTGTTTGCGAATACTGGATGTAATTGATAAATCCACTCGTGGCTTGCGCCGTCCAATAATTCGATCACTGAAGTCAATTACATGCAGATTGTCTATCTATCATCAATTGTTCTATGCCCAAGTAGCTGTGCATGCGTATATACGTGTATATATAATAAATGCATGTTTAATATGTTACAGAGGGAGGCAAGCCAGCGAGATGTGGAACGAGAACGGCGACAACGAATGGAGGCCGAAGCGCGAGTACACGAGGCCACGGCCGAGGCTGAACGAGCGCGAACAAGGGTCCATCATCTACAGAAAGAATTGGCCAGGTAACGCCATCCTAGTGACTTTTCGATTATTTTGTAATAACGTGGAAAAAGTAATTGGGTCCTTACAGTATTTCTGTGTGTGTATAATATATATGTAATTGTGTTTATTAAATATCTAATAGAGTGTTCGTGTCAATATTTCGTCTGCGTTAATAGAAAACTCATGTAGCTCAGTGGTCGATGGCAAATTCAATATTTCACATATAAAACCGCAGCCATCGCTTATTTCGTCGAACCGCAGAGGCATACTTTACTCTCGACCGATAAAACTTTCCCGTAACGCATAAATAACGAGACCGTATTTCCGGCGCAATAACCGCTAGATCCCATGATAAATCGAGGATATTGGCTGAAATCCAGTATCATTATTGCACCGTGCGCGAATTCTCTTCTCAGTTATTATATATCCCGTCGCTTGAAAGCGAACCTTTACCGCCATTGCGCCACTGTCGTACGGCTTATAGATACTCGACACTGTCAGTATTAAAGGAGATAGAGTCGACCGAACCTAACCTACACCGAGCTTTTACTCATTCACCTTCATTCTTTATTCAGGAAAATCTGTATTCTCTTCCCGGGGGAAAAAAAAATAATATTAACCAACGTTAAGTCCTTCACGGTTATACCACTGTCACGTATGTTTGTCCTCTCGAGCTTTAAATACGGTTTAATAAAGCGACGCGACAATTAAAAAATTCTCAAACAAACGTACCAACGTCCGTCATCTGCAGGCATCGTCGAAACTTTCCAATGGCTGGCGTTGTACATACTGCGAGCATTTAGGTATTTTCGAATTAGGGCGCCTTAAGGTAAAGTCGTATCGTGACACATGACACAAGTGGCTACGAAAGACGAGTCTAGCTGGTAAGTGGCTGTTACGTTTAAAAGGTTCGCAGGACGATGTACCCTTAAAGCCCTTGTGGCATCGATCCGACTCCTCCGCCTCCTTCCAGGCATCAAGTCAAACACAACGACGCGTCGCACACGCGACAGTGTCCCCACCACTCGTCGCGCGGTGCCTATCTGAACCGAGCTTGAGAGTTTACCACGGAGTAATAGCAAGAGAGGGCGCAGATAGGCTACCGTTTCACGCTTCTAGCTTCTCGCTTCACCGCCAGAGCGACATCGACGAGACGCCAAGTGTCAGTAGGAAATTTTTTCAAAAATTTTTTTGACTTTTTAGCTCTCTCTCGACCAGGAGTGCTTTGAATTTTCGTAAGGACTTATAAAGTGGCTCATTGTACGACGTGCTGGACGGCATTTCTGTTTAAAGATCTCTCACGAAGTCGGACACAATCAGACAGAGAAACGATTGAAATTTTATAACCTCGAAGAACGCCTCCGTCTTCCTTTGTTACCTTTACGAGAAAAGGTACCTCGAAACTTTCTATTATAAGAATTATGATAGGAATAAATTTTTTCTTGAAATTCTCTTAGATCTCTCCTTTGATCGCCTCACTGATTTTCTATTATTGCTTTTCATACGAAATTACGGTCGACGAACTTTATGCTTATGTGGATTTGAGGTTAATGACCTTAACTGAACGTAAATGCGAACCACTGACAATGAGCATGAGACCGATGGTAACTAGGAAGCACTCAAGCAGCAATCATTAGAACTAAAACGGATAAACGAGACGGGAAACCGTAGTTAAAGCTCGCTTCCTTATAGGGACGCACAGACTTCCTTTCATACGGCGAACCTTAAGCTCCGTATTGACGATTAAAGTTCCATGATAGCCGTCTCTGATAGCGGACATTTAATAGGATGATGGATTGCCATAACTCATCCCGTCGGAGTCTCGTCCGAGAGCATCGATAGTCCATGGCAAAAGTCAAGAGCTAATAGAACCCCTCGGCTGTAGTATGTGGGCTGCGCGTAAGTCGACGAGTTTAATCGTCACTTGTAAACGAATTAAATATCCCGCGGAGCTTCAGCGACCAGACAAATTATCTCGTTACGTATAGAGAATGAGACAAAAAGAAACAATGGAAAGAAAATAAATAAAATTCTCGAACGAGAATCGCCATTTTTCTCCTACACTCGGCAATCAGCAGCAGCGAGAGCTACATTTTCTTTCGCTCGAGATCGTTTACGCGGTACCGCGTGGCATTCGTATATCATAGAGGTTGTGTTTCGTCGTTAATAAACGCAAAAAAATATTACGTCGCTAACCCACAGAGATTGCTATCTCGTAATAACGTTGTATCCACGAAAATTGTACTATCGATCGGGATCGCATAATTACCCATAATTCCTCGACAAACGCATGCCTTTTCTAGTTTCACTCGATATATACATATATACGTTTTATGAATAACAGACTAAATTCACTGTTGTTCCATATGTAACGGCGTGCCGACTCGTCCCACTTTCGCAAACGACTTTTCTTCGCAATAGAAAAAGATACGATTACGAACGAACTTCTCTAACCGACCGAGTATGATTTTACTCTTGCATAACGTGCATATCCGAGGACGTTATTGTATCGTCGCATAGGATCTTGTAGAGTCGTATTTCTGTGCAATTGAAATTAGGCCTTCTTCTAATGGATTGTGAAAATTCATTCGTGACATTACGATTAAATCGTACCGTGTCACGTGCACGTATATTTGCGCTAAAAGACTACGCGCATTTTAAAAACCCTTTTCTTTTGTATTTCATCTATTTATACTACGCAGCGATAGTGCGACAGAGTGTACGGCTTAGTATGTTTAAGCACGCATATCATTGTTCCAAGTCACGCGAGCATGAAAAAGTATGGCTCAAATGACAGGTGAAGGGGAAAAAAGATGGCGAATATTTTTACAGCATTCTTTCGCTCTGTAACGACTGCTTGATGTGTACAGTCACGTAAAAAAGTATCAAGAAAAATTTTAATGAATTAACCATACCTAAAATACGGATTTCCGAAATCAATCGTCATTTTATATTTCGATCGTCAATTAATTCCCTAATAAGTCGTACCAACCGCTTGGCTCCAGTGCGAAATCCGAATAAGAACACGAAATCTGATCGAACATGACCGAACCTAACCTCACCCATAACGCTAGACTGCGATTGGACATAAAGCGCAGAAAGTTCAATCAATCGTTCCGCATATCGAGTGGAAAGTCGATAACGGCAAAGCGTTAGGTTATATCACGACTGTACAAACCGGAAATGACAGTCTACAGACAGCAATAACGTAGCAGCAAATCTATTCCTAGAATTCCCATCTCTCTTGTATTCTCACTGATACCTGAGATTCCGAGGAGATTTTTATTGCGCTCAGTAAATTTATACGCGAGAACCTTTCATGAGGTACAAGATCCTGCGTCGTTTTAACGTTAAATATATATATATATATATATATATTGAAATTTTACGATTTTTTCTTTTTGGATCCTTGCCAAAATCCAAGATCCTGCGTCGTTTTAACGTTAAATTCACTGATACCTGAGATTCCGAGGAGATTTTTATTGCGCTCAGTAAATTTATACGCGAGAACCTTTCATGAGGTACAAGATCCTGCGTCGTTTTAACGTTAAATATATATATATATATATATATATTGAAATTTTACGATTTTTTCTTTTTGGATCCTTGCCAAAATCTATACACCTCGTTTTATCATCCCCAGACTCGTGGGTACAACACGTGTACTATCCGGCTTGAGTATTTTCATGAAAGCGCACGAATTCGTGTTGTCGCCGTTTCCTGGAATCGTATCGGCCCACGTGCTTCGATGCTCGTGTCATGCTTGGGTTTCTGTACATGCGACAAAGTCCGTACGGTTCTCTCGTATTCCGGCGTGTATAATGCTTGTTCGACGTGTAACGTAACATGATGCATGACAACGCGCCGGATATACCACCGCGAGTTTTCCTGCAGCGAATGAATAATCGTACAGCCCACGTAGGGAGGTACGTTGCATTCGACTCTACATTAGGTATACCCAGTGCATCTATTGATATTTATCCGTAGGGCCTATGGATAAATGTCTATGTACTATGCGCATGGTAATCTTGAAAAAAAAAGAAAATATATATAAGTACCTAAGATTTTGAGCATAGCTCTTTATCATTGAAAACTTCTGACATTGTCTTACGGTTAGATTGACTGTATATACTATAGATACCCGTGTGTATTATTGGGGCGTTTAAAATTAGAGGGCTGTGTTAAGCAATTAGTGGAATTAATGAGATAGGAAAGCTGCACGAAAGCTCATTGAGATTAGGACGTTTTACAGGTGAAAATAACCAAATTCTAAGAGCTTGTTTTGATATATCTAAATGGGTGAGTATGTGATATATGGATGGGTGGAGATACATTATAGCTACATTAAGGGGACCAAATGGTGGCTCGATTACTATATTTATAGTGGTTATTAGCTGTAACTGGTTTTGATTTTTGATTGGACGCATTAAGATAATGTTTATCTTTTTAATAGAATAAAATTGTATGAATTTTGATTGTAACGATCAGATTGGAATTATGTGAAATTTTAATATAATTTACCTGCGGTGTAACATGTGGCAGATAACGCGTCACGTGATAATGGCATATGTGCACGTGTTACGCAACACCGTTCTAGAATTCATATGACATGTTTTACAGTGTGATAACATATAGATAATTATTTGATCGATGACAGCTTCTTATGTATTAGATAAAAAATTTTGATTTTCCGCGAACTAGGGCTCATATTTGAGCGAGAGGAAAATTCTCGGGCAATAAAGAACAATCGGTGAAACACGCAGTGGGATCAATTCGTTCCTTTGGAAATATACGAGAATCGGTATATTTATCGTTGTACACCGTTAGAAAGGATAGATACGGTATGCGACCCCAAGAAACAGAAGCCACCCCGTATAGGTATTTACTTGGGTGGAATGAAAGTGAGGGAGAGAAAGCATTTCACTCAGGAGGCTGCTATGGCTCCTGGTATTTCGGATAAGTTATATTTATTTCCGGGCCGGGGTAATTGCCTTGCCTCTCCCCTCCATCAGCCCACTAACCTATTTCGGAACTCATCAGCTGATGATAAAGCCGCATTTTTTTCCTCTCCTTCAACCGAGAAACTCGAGATGGGCGCGATTGTCTCGTAAGCTAGTGAATTTATTTCCAGGCAGGACTCCGCAAACGTTCCTTCGCCACGAATTTCGACCCCCCCTAACCTCTAACGTTACCTCTACGTAGTTCCTAATCTAGCCGCATTACGATACCACTCCACGGGGACAGATTGGTCTCTGATAAAGTTGCGAGTACAAAAAAACGCACGCGTTTCACTATTTAATCCCGTAGATAGTTTTTTTGTTAAAAGAAATTTTTGTTTTTCCCTTTCGCATAACGGAGAGACAAATGCGGGACACGTGGAACGGAAAGAAAAATGAGGATAATGGAAAACGAGAAGAATGACCTTTATCGTACGAAATTTTATTTCCGACATTCCGAATCTCTTCGTCATATGTTTTATGTCGATGCTTTGTATTTATATTCGATTTTCATCGTGGCCCGTACTATTACCCAATGCCGATATTTCATTGAATGACGAAGCCTGATCAATTTATTTTCTTTCTGCGCGTTTTACGAGAGTAGTCTGTTTACGCCGTAACAGTGGCGGCCATTGCATCGTATTAACCAAATACGGTATCGTTTATTACGGGGTTTATGAGACAGCGGCCAAGTAGAGAGGGTCTCACGGTTTATTGCTATTGTACTGTACTGTCCCGCGTATAGAGTATAGATACATGGGTATATGTACGTTAAAAGCTTATCGATTTCAACTACGTGCATCGAGACGGCTTTAACCTTCAATTTAACTGTTACGTCATTACGATCCTAACCCATAAAGCGTAAATATATTGTAGAAGAAAAGTAGTTGTTTAACTGTTACGAATTTCGCGAGCATTGTGAAAAATATGTGGAATAGCATACCTGTGAATGGATTTACAATTTTCCTTTGTCAAACGTTATTTGAACTTATGCGAAAGTCCGTTAGTCCATCTTCCGCTTCCTGTTTACGCTTTACGCACCCTCGTCCTTGATACTGTCTTCGGAATGATTTGTTTTTCTCAGCGAGTAGGACACAGCGGCGCCATGATGCTCCCATTTACAGGGATACTGGGTCGTAGACGCTGTCTTGTCTCTGGACGGGACTATATTGTTGTCTACGTTGTACTTTATCTATCGACGACATTTCGTGGACTGGAGGACACGAAGAGAAGGAAAATTTACTCTGAATCCTTATAATACTACACCGCGTGGAATGAAATAGCGTCTTTGAATGTAAATGCGAGAAGTTCGTTTACTGCGTTATGAAGCAAGCTGACTCTAACCGGTCTCGTGGCGCGCTCTGTGAGCGGAAAGAGGAAACAGCAAAGCAGTATGAAGTCACGTGGTTAACGCGTATCTCCAAAGGAAGAAATTCCTTTGACTGTGACTTAGTTTCCCGTGTGTAATTACAAAAATGGAGGTCTACCCTTCATTCAAAGAAGCGTGGCTGCCGCTTGGGTGAGTGTATGTATTAAGAGAAAAGACTAGGAAAGTCATGCCTTTTTACACCGTGCGAAAACAGTCCCTGAAAATGGCAGGGCTGGCTTCCTCGTAAACATCTGCTTCTGTTTGAACTTATGATTATGTATCTCTCTTCTCTCTCTCTCTGTTCCCTCTTGCCATCTTTCTCAGTCTACTATGAGAGACCCTCCATGGCCTCTTAACATCCCCTCGCGTAATAATTTCAACGAAATCATTCCTGCAGCCTGGAGTCTTCTTCTATGCGTACCTCCTGCCGTACGGTACTTAAGACCAAGAACCAAGAAAGGATAAGAACTTCGCCGTCCTTACCAACGTGGTTGTTCATTGGGAAAAGTTCTCGAGAAAGATCAAGCGTCTCTATGGTGTTTTAATGTTTTATGGTGGAGTTGGAAAAAGAGTATGAACGTGGCCTACCCAGTTTCTATTATATCCACGACAAAGGAACCTTCTGCTCGTCGACGGACCTATGGACCGAATGAAAAGCGCGAAAACTAAGGCCCTGACTCGCTGACATTTCTATACTGTATAACCTACTAACTGCACGGACTCCGTGGAATTCTTTGAATAACAATAAGCGGACAGAAAGGGATATGACGTATTATGGTTTCGGTCGCTGAGAAAATTTTTTTAACGTGCTAATGTCTGTATAATCAAGTTAACAATGAAACACGTCAATGAAAAAAATGCCGTTTGTACAAAGTAAAAAATAGTAAATTTTGAAAATCATATATACCTAAGGAATAGGGGATGCCCAGAATTAAACGACTATTTACAAATTGTACATAAGGATATATAAAATGAGATATGCAGGTAGGCATAGGGATTTCGCGACTCTAAGAAATAATTACTTTAATACGATTTTTTTCATTATCTTTCAGGATGGAGGAGTCCTCGCGGGGTCTGTTGCAGCACAAACAAAGGGCGGAACAGTTGAAGCAGGAAAAAGCTGCGCTCACCCTTTCCTACGAGGTGACTATATTTTTCATCCCCGTGGATTATCCAAACAATTCGTTTGATTTGTCTGACGTGCAAAACCCACCGCAGGATTCGTATCTACACACGCGTTATAACCACCGCAATTGACGAGCGTAGAGACAAAGCGGATTTTCGCGAATGAAATAAAACACAGCGAGGTCTCTTTGACAGCCGATATCGCGACAGATACAATTTACTGCTTCGGTAAACAGAAAAAAAAGGAAACCACTAACCCGATACCGCCTCACCCCCCACTCCATTACCCCTTACAATATCAAGTGCCACGTGTCCACCCAGCGCTTCATTTTACATCAATTAAAAAAATGTTCAGAAAGTAAACTGTCACAGACGGAAAAAAAAGTTTGCCCTGATTCAACCATAAAAAAAATTCTTACGAATTTGATTTTTAAAAAAATCCTGTCACTAGACATCGAAGAAAAATTCCTAATTTCACTGTCCCAATAAAATATTTGATTTTTCATCCAATCTCTTGCATAACAATTTTACACGCGTGCATACCTTATCACATCCTCGTACTTAATACGACGGGGGTGGCGCTCAGCGGTAACATCGTTATGGCTGACGTCACGCATGAGGTGACAAACGGGTCTTATCTCATTCACGGGCTGTTTAGCTGGCAAGGAACGATAACTGCTTTTTGAAAATAGCAGCAGTGTTATATCTAATCTAGTATACGTATAGTACATACAAGTCCCGTTTATACATATATATTATAATTAAAACAACGCATACGCTATTACTGAATATATTTGAAAGTGACGTTCATGATGCGATAGAAAAAAAAGTCATCTGAAAATCTTTAGTGGAAAAATATGACATTAGGAACTTTTTACTTTTACGTTAATTACAATGACATTCGTTACCATCTAGGTGGGACCCTTATCGAAACGTTTCAGAAGATAAAATGTTTTGACCGTGTCACCCACGTGAATTTATGGCAGACGCGTGTTTTACCTACAATACGTATATATGTATATATGTATATTCGCTATTTCAGGAAGTATCTCCATACATTCGATTCCACGCACGTATTCACCAGATTGTGAATATTCGGCGAAACCAGAAAACGCTTCTCGTATATCAACGCGAGTCCTATCGGAAATTTCTCCTTGCAACTTTCCCTTTCGCGATATTTCACTGTTAACGAAGCCCTTGCTCTTTTAGGTAAATAGGAAAAATAATATACGGTACACTTTAGCGGTTAAGTGACTAATAATGATAATGTTAACCATAAAGAATCTGCGCTTAGAATAATAATAACAACAGTACAGCACAAGAACAAGTTAATCTGGCATCTTTCTTCGATTTAGAGCAGTAGGTGGTGAGGGAGGTAAAATTTATGTGAAAAAAGTGAAATTCGTGGAAACGATTTCACAAAAATGGCCGGAAACATTCCGTTAATAATACGTTGAATTATTTTTTGTATTTTTTTTATTCTTTCCTTTCTCTCTCTCTCTCTCTCTCTTCACCCTCTCACCGGTGCCCTGTACTTTCTTCACCCTATACCATTTCACCCTTAGGACGAAGTTTACATTCTTCCTTCATAGTCTACGGAATGTCGTGGTCTCCCCTCGTTCACGGGGGTAGACATTAGCAGGAACGGCTGGGTTGGTACGACCGTTATAAATCAGACACACGCACCCCCTATTAGCACCCCTGTCTCTGACAGGTCTGCAACCCTAATTTAACGTCAAAGCGCCTTGCTACTAATAACGCTGAGGCGCGTTATTAACTCGAACTCAGCGCACCGAGTCCGAGTGCAAGTGCAACAAATGCATTTGATTGTTTGGCTGTCAGTGAGACCTGTCAGAAATTCTTATTGATTTCGTTGTTTATTTTGCTAATAAAAAAAGAAGAAAAATTCATCGATCGAGAATGAAAATAATAGAGCTTTGAATTAACTCGTGTAAAAAATGATAAAAATTTTTCAGTTTCTATTTTGGCATTTACTATGTTAAGTATATGGTATCTTATGCTTGCAATTCCATGTGCAATGTTTTCTGATCGCAGCTCGAACAGGCTGTAAGGAATTGTCAAAAGTGTTGGATCAAAATTCGAAAGAAGAAGAATGATGAAACGAAGAATCATAATTTTTGAAAATTATCAAGCCGTCAGTTGTGCTCGCGTAACTTATGAATAGAGAGACAGGCTCGATGAAAAAAAAAAAAAATTCTATTATGCCATTGACTGTTCTATGTGTATAGTCGTTACGCTTGCAATTCCATATGTGGCGACTTCTGATCGTAACTCAGATTGGCTATGAGGAATTGTCAAAAATTTTGAATCGTAATTCTCGCGGTAGACAACTATCGTGGATCTACAAGCTAAAGGGGAACAATGTGTAGTGGGCGAGCGAGATAAATTGTGGCTTTGTGCTTTCCGGTTAGACCGACGAATCTTTTGTGATATACTAGTCTTGCATATGGATATACAATTACGATTGGTCCATAGTCTATTAAAGCTAAATGAGCTAGAAAATTATACCGAACAGAGTATAGGGGTTTTTAAGTAAAATTTGTTATTTACTAAGATTGATGCGTCTGCTGTCCATTTTATTATTATATTTTCATAACATCTAAATATTTATTCATAGTCACGTTTTGAAATAAATTCGTACCTTTCTTTTCTTTATTAGGCTCGAGTGCACCAGTACCAGGCGCAAATTACGAAGCTGCAGCTGGAAGGCGAGTCGATGCGCGGCCAGCTGCGAGGATTGGAAGCTGCATGTGCTGGAGAAGTACACGCAGCCCTTGTCGCTCGATTGGCAGTCCTGGAGACGGAACACGCGGCACTCGCCCGCGACGCCGACGCTCAGCGTCGACAGTACGAACGGTGTTTGGACGACGTCGCCAACCAGGTGGTCCGCGCCCTCCTATCCCAAAAGGTTCATCGACATGCTCACACTAATGTCCTCCTTTTTTTTTAACCACTTTCCATCATGCTACTTAACTATGGGAATACCGGCTGTTTCAAATTCTTTTCTTTCCTTAAATCGTTTACTTGAAACATTCCAAATTGGTGTCTTGACGTTTATGGCTTTATTGTTAAACATGATGAGGAACGAAAATTTTCAGTTTGACTGTTTAAAAGGTGATATTGATAATTGGATTATTTTTTGTCAAAATTAATTTGTGTAGTAATGCTTCTGATTAAGAATACTAATCGTGCCTTTGGACACATTTATTTAATTATATTTTAGGGTTTGGATGACTTAAGTAGTTTTAGGCAGAAGCAATTCTATTAATCAGATGTGACTATGGGGTATAAGTGTAGATTGTCTGGATTTAAAGGAGACTGTCTTAAGTAACATAATTCTCTCTTGATAGTATTAGCATCCTCCTTCAAACGTGGGATGTTACGACAAGGCTTGTTACTTTGATGAAGTAGGTTTTAATGAAAGTTAATAATCATTGAATTAAGCCAAGGTATCCGTTCTTATTAACAAATCCTGAATGTTGGGCCTATACACTCCTTGTAAATTTAGTATCAATTTGTTGTTGAACTTTATTTGAAATGCAATTTTCTGTGTTAGGGTCTCAGGGAAGAAATTGGTGCTCTTCAGAGGCGCATTCGTGAGCTGGAGGCACAAAATCGAGCTTTGTCGGGTTTATTAGCTCAGGCTACTAGTCCCGGAAGTCCTACTGATCTGATACAAGGAATCCTTGAAGCTGGACCCGCCGCCTTGGTTGCTGCACTCAGTCTGGACCCTTCCTGGGTACCACTTTCCAGACCACGTTCGCTCAATCTTCAAATACCTGTAATGGCCACTACAAAGTGTCGTCGTAACAGACCTTTAGGTATGTTTATCGCTATTAAGAAAAAAAGGAACGTACGTCATAACCGTAACCATAACAAAAACTATTATACCCTTGATAAAATCTATTCAATACCATAATGTATAAGATTATTAGGCTGTCTCATACAAAAAATCTTTTCCCCTCACTTATCATATACTGTTAACATGATTATCTCTATTGTACACTTCTTGTTGTTGAGGAATACAAACTATCAGACTGGAATGAGCTTTAAGAAAAGCAGCTTTTCTCAATCCGTCTTTGAATGATTTTAGGTCAAAAGCCTTCAGAGGAGGAGGGTAGCGAGAGTCCCGAGAGTGGTAATCGGGATGAAGGGTACTCGACAATGTCAAGCGACGTACAAGGAGAGGGTGCTCGACAAGGCGAGCCGCCACGAGGACTTGAAGATCTGAAGGAGGCAACAGACGAAACGGAAGCCGATATTTCCCCAGATGCAAGATTGGTCGCGCTTGATGCCGCCGATCCGGACGTTCTTTTCTTTCCATTGAATCTGACTGTTGGGATCAATCCAAGACACAGCTATCCACCAACCAAAGATCTCCTTCCATATCAGCACGTGATGCGCAGCTTCTCTGACAGTCATCTTTGCCTCAAACTCACAACCGCAGCTAACGGGACGCCTTACAATATTGCCAGCCCAATTGGATCATCTTCACTATTATTAGTTGATGAAGAAGGTTGGGATGCTGAATATGTTCAACAATGGCTAAGGTTTGTTATGCGGTTATTATTGGAATTAGAAATTAATCTTTATAAGTTATATCATTTCTTTGTCAGTACAATAGTTTACTTGTATAATAAGTTATGGAATTTTAAATGGACTTGACAATTTAATGTATTATTAATGTTTTAGGCTAGACGATACTAGGAGTGCTCAACAACATCGAGACCTACTCGAATTGGAATATGACAGAGCGGAACTCGAAGATTGGAGCTTTTCCTTGTCGACGGAGGACCTAGTGCAAAATGATCACTCCACGTGGAAGGAACCACCTACGACTCCTGCACTTCCTGCTATCAAAGAACATAATCCTCTTGAACTGGAAGAAGATGCTAATGAATGTCTGTGGAACGGTGCAAGTTACCTAGCAGACAGGACCGGTGGTGAACTGGTAAACTTCTTCATTATTTATTTAGATGACTTAAATAAATTATATATATACTGTTTTTGGGAGAGCATTATCAAGTATCACTATGCTATTGATAAAGTTAATCAGGAACATTTTTCAAACCTGTATAAATATGGCGTCTTTGTTCTCACTATTCAGGTTGCTCTTCTTATGGATGCGAGAACAGCGGGGCCGTGGCCCTATGCCTCTAGTCCCGGCGCTTCTTGGAGCAGCGAAGAAGGCGCTTTGGAAAATTCAAGTAAAAGGTCCTCCGCCGCTCTTTCAGGATGCAGCGACGATCCTGACTCACCCTCCGTAGGCACGGATTTTACCCGTGACTTTTACCGACTCGTCAAATTTGAAAGTACCAAAAGTTTAGCAAGCACCTCCTCGAGGGGCGGAAAACCAACGGGAGATAGGGAACAAGCACTGCAAAGTGTCTTATCATTTATCGCCGAGCAACAAATGTATCTCGCTGAATTACCAAACAATTCTCCGGATCACATTGCGGAACCTCTTTCTACCGAAGGTTCGTATTAATTCTTTATCAACAGCGCTTTTGAATTTCAAACAAAATATCTATATATCTTCTACCCAATGAAAAACTTTAAAAAAAAGAAATCGAATGGTTCATTTATCAACAGAGAAATCAGTTTTCGAGTGTACAGAGTGAGAATTGCACTTGAACTTTTTACTGCGCCATAAAGCCGAGTGGACATTGATGAAACTGTAAAAATAAATATTCAGTGAGCATCGCACAAAGAGTAGTGAATGTTTTATAGATATCGTATGACATATAAAGAATTGATGACCCTATATAAAAAATATTGATAGCATGACAGATAAATATTTCGAATCTTTTGCACAGATTACTCAAAATTCGTTGAATGCATTCAGTTCTAGAGGCAAGCGGGAATAAGAATGAACATCTGATGGAGATACTTAACACTGAGACTGGGGAGAACATAAACATTCAGGATCAAGAACATATGGAAAATACCCGACCACTTAATTCCAACGAGGAAATACTCGATCAAATTTCTGTTCCGCCATTGGCGCCGGAAGAGCGACTAGTAAGTGCAGTTATATGCAACGAGGGTGTCTCCTACACAACTGTTGCACCTTCGGAATTAGGAGCGGTACCTGAAGAAGACGAGGAAGCGGCAACATCTTCGACACCCAGTACAGTCGTAAGTATATAATTCAGTATTTGAAATATACTGATAAAGGCATTGATAATAGATCAGATAATAATAGCAAATCATATCATGAACGATAGCGTTGATAGTAAGTTTCCTATATATTCTGTTTTTCACAATTTATCGAATTTTCAGGTAAGCCCCGCAAGGGCGCCACTACTGATCGAGGGACGCGATCGATCATTGAGCTTCCATGAACGTGCAACTTCCAAAGACGTCATTGACGAACTTAATCGAATGATTAGAAAAGGAGAAGACAATCCCGTCGCTCAAGATACTCAGATGGTGCTTGAGAAACTTGATCTTGCTTGTTGCTGTCCAACTGGTTGGGTTCACGTTGAACGCGATATCGACTTTACGGATCCAAAGGTAAAATTCATATAATTCATGACACATATGAATACTAACTATTATTATTATCCACTAAATATTTTTTTCTTTATATATTCAGGCAAGAGCCAACCTTTTAGACGTAATGCTAGCAAGTAGCGAAAGTTCCTCGGCAACTTCTAGCAGCGGTTCCGCAGGCAGCGACTCTGGTGATGAACCACCGGATTATCGGCGTTTGCACAGGTTGCATCGGTACCGTCGTCAAAAGAAAGGTAGTTATCTTTTACACAGTATAACTAGTGTATCGCAGCAGACTATTTCTATTGTCTCGAAACTAAAGGATTTACCATCGCGCTCCTTCACTTTTTAATACACAAAGAAATCACTTTGCTCTTCACGGCTTACGTTGAATCTGTTAAATCACTACAGTAAACATACCTACCATATTTACAAAATCTCCCTTACTAAAGGTTTTGCTAACCACTAGAGCTTTTCCTACGAAGAAATAGTAATAAACAGTAATCAATAATTAATCATTCAAATTGATTACGAGTAAACAATTATCAGATGCTTTTTCTAATTTATAGAAATTGTTATTGCGTCACGGGAGACCCTAATGAGCATTCGCTTCTTTCTAACTATGCTTTTTATCTTCCTTTACTAATTATCACATCAGTCAACCGTATATTCTTTTTCAAGATAACGTTACATTTTTTTCACTAAAAGAAATCATGCACCTTTCAATCATTCACACAACCACTGCGTATTATCTTGATCAGCACCTCATAGCCTTATTATAAAGACATCTGCTAGTTGCCTTCGCTGTATATAGCTTCCTTCATATTTTCTGTTCAGATGGTAGCTCCTACGCGGTGTGCTTTGATTGTCACAAGAAAAGCTACGTAGTTCGGCTTAGTGACGATCAGTTTTTATGAAAAAAAAAAGAAAAAAAAAAAAAGAAAAAACCGACGGGCCAATGAGAACGGACAATCTTTGAGCTTAGTTTAACAAATTGCAAATGACTTTCCCGCATATAATTACTAACCGAAAATTAATCGTGGACGAATAACGGGAAATTAATTGAATGTCGTTACACTGTCTTGGCATTTATAAAATTGTAAAGCGGAACGCTTCTGTCCGAATTCCATGAGCTGTTTAGAGATCGTTGAAGAAAAGGATCACGCGCGCGATATTTCCACACACGAAAATTATGTGACAAAAAATTAAAAATATACACAGAGAACAACTATCCCGTTCGATTTGGACGATCGGTAAAAATTGTGGAAGATACGTGAGTTTGGAGAGGTAGAGTGCTAAGCCGAGCTACTCTGTGTCTGCTAGAGCCGGTATAGGAGAGAGAGCAAGTGAGGTCTGAGGCATGTTGACCTGCTGCTTGGTTTCCCAGCCTCGGCAGCGCAGGCCCATCGGGTTCTACGATTGCCATCTTCTTGGGGAGCTTCGACTCGGCCGTCCATCATCGGCAGGGACGATTTCTTCGTTCGTTATGGAGACAAGGAGCGAGAGGCCGTAGCTTCCTTCGATTTCCTTGACGAGATCACACTTTCTTCGTCCATTACGCCATCCTCTGCTGAGTCCGAGGAGTTGACTGCAAGTTTTATCGACCTTGATGACATCCCCACGTCGAATGCCAACAGGAACCTCATGAAAATCTCGCCACTCTAGACGAACGACGATGACGTCACTGGATAATACTGATAGTATTTAATGGTGTTGCGGTCTGATAACTCTTTATGCGATTCGAGCAGGATCATCCTCGCTGAATTCTGCTGGTGCGGAAAATCGTCCAGAGTATTATTTTATGTACTGATTGTATATATAATATACATATATATATATATATAAGGACGATGTGGTGGGATTTTTGACAGGGACGCGAAAAATTGTAAAATAAGAACTTCAGCCTGGGGATTGGCGTTCGGCCACTTTTATTTAATGCTAATTGGATTTGTAAATTTGGACTTGAAATTTATTTGCTGATTATGACTTGTAGAATCTTTTATATGTATAATCTGTCTGCGAAGTACTTATTCTTCTATTTTCATTGTACTATCAAGCTTGATTTACGCAACAATGATTCAGTTATTTTGATTTAATGTCAAACTTGTTATATCGTTTTCAATTGTCCCGACACAATGGAATGTAAATATTGAAAAGATTAAGCATTTCGTTTAATCGTATATTCTGAAATGCTATTTTATAGGAATGCGGATGACTTTTCTTATATTTTTCCTCGTAAATTTGCAGTCTTAACGCGTTCAACTTTTGAATGTGTTTTGTAAGTCGTAGCTAAAGATTTTATCAAACGAAAGACTAATGAAAATACCTAATCGGAGTAAATTATATTAGTAGGACTGATAAGTATAATGAAACTAAAAATTGTATCTAATATTTACAATGTAAATTTTCACGACTATTATACAGTCATTCGATCGTCGTCATCAGTATCCCCGTTAAAGTGAAAACAATAACTCTAAAAATGTGGTGCGTTAATGTAGACCACTCTATAATAAAAAGTGATCCTATGTACATTTACAGCACTATGCAGAGATAAAATTTAAAACAATCTTACGTTTATCAATGTATTATTTTAATCTCGTAAAAGCCTTGGACAAACAAACACCAAAAGTGTATAAAAGATACGCCGGCTAAATGATCATAGAAGATACTTTGCTAAATGAAACGTAAGAAAATTCAATAGAATTCTATTCGCTTCAATGGAATTCTATTTCGATTTCTTCGCGCTGGTAATATTGCATTGTATCACAATAACAACACAGTACTAATTATACGACATCCAACAATAGAGAACCCGACGAATTTCCAAAATTGAGCTTAGAAAATCTAGATTAAGTCAACTCGTCGACTTTTATATGAATCAAGGCTGCTGTTCAGTTAAATTTATGTGTGCGCACCTGCACGGAACGATGACATGAGAAGCCAGGAAATTTTTACAACCATTTTGCTCTCTTCTGTTTTTTTTAACTAATTTGATACATTTTTTATTTAATGACCTGCCTTACACAACAAGAAAACCAGACCATCTAGATTTAAAATTTATTAGAATCTTGTCTTCAAGAATAACAACTGAAACCTGTCAAATTCTCATGACAGCCGCCATTAAGTCTGCTTCATATTCCTACATTTTTCTTTGAATTAGAATATTCGTTACACTTAAAGGCAAACGACTCGTCTTATACAAAGAATCAAAAATGAGAAGAATTAGTGCAATCGCAGGGGATGAATGGCTGTAAAGATTTTCCTGCTTCTGAAGTAATCACCTCTGTGCGCGTGCGCACGCGTAGAATGGCTGGAAAGCAGCTGTAAGAATCGTTATATTTTTCGTCCATCGTGTCACGATCATCAATCGTCATTTAAGAGTTCCTAAGGAGAAGCTTTTTCTTCTTTTGTACTAATAAAATCATGGAATTACGAATGAACGATAATAGATATGAATTATAAGCTTCTCTTCGTAGGGACTCGTAAACCTGTATATTTTGCTTCCAAAATTATGTATAATAATATCGAACTTCAATGGATGCGCCAGCTTGCGAATGCGAGAGGGAGTAATGGAGAAAGCACAAGGGTGAACGAAAGTAAGAGTAGACATGTACTCGCTAGTAAGATTTATAAAGTGGTAAAGAATGAAAAGCTATAGAGAAACGTTAGTTATGAGAATACGCACTGGACGCGTGGGGTATATGTCTGTATTACGTATTACGTTTCGACGAAAATCTTAGAATAATATCATTAGACGTAAAACGTTTGTTAAGATAACGAGTCGATAGAATCAAAATATTTTACATGTATACATATTAGGGAATATTTTGAATATTCAAAATGATATTGTGTCAGTGGCGGGATAATGTCCCGTTACTGATGCACTTTGTTGTTGTTGCAACAATTAAACAACAATGACAACCGCTCTATGACGATTGTGACTGTCTTATTGGAAATAACGGTCCAGCGAAACAGTTTCTCTTGTGAACACTGTGACGCAATTCAATCATGTAAATTATGCTTTGTTTTGTAAATGACCAAATGAATAATTTTTCTATTGCGTTATTAGAAAATAAAATATCGATCGTATCCGTACATGGCATAAACATTTTGTGAACGTTGAGTGTCTCATGAACGTCGTACAAAGGACGTACTATGGATATTGCGCTGTGTATGGATATACTATATCAAGAACCAACCGTATATCTTAACAATTCCTCGGATTACGTATAAATTTAATTTAATAACTAAACAAAAAAGGAATTTCATACAGTTAAATAGATAATGAGATTCGTTTACTCTTTAATTGAATAAATTGGTTTGTCGACTGTACTAAACGCTACTGTCGTGCCGAGTGATGTTAGATTATTGAGTAAATTTTCAAAGAGCGTTTTCAAATTGAATAAAAAAAAAATTATTTCCAATGTCTCGCTGCGTTCTCATAACCAACCGAATATTAAACGAACTTATTGTTCTAAGCAAAAATCGTACCTATTAAATCGACTTGAGCATTGTACATAGTATGTATTATAGTATGATGGATGTAAGTTATCCTCCCTTAAACTTAATAAACAATAACGACAATATATCAACGAAATTGCAAAGTTTCCTTATTTCCATACCTATTTAATATACTTTTTAATTATGATTCGGTCTCGCAGCATCAATGGCCCCTTAGACTGTGCAGGTAGGTCAATATCATGAATAAAGTCAAAAAAATATTTTTATTGAAATATATAAAAATTCGATGAATGAAAATATAATGCGCTTTGTACAATTGGGAAAGCACTTGTGTTTTCACATTTTTCAAATACAATGGCATATGAATTTAAATAATTTTCACGTCGATCGATATTAGTTTACGTACAAACATTTAGAATTACATCACCTAAATGATAACGTTATAATAAATTATAATGTATTTGCAATTACGGAAGCTAATGTGTTTCTTCTTTTTGTCTCTGTTAATATTTATTCCAAAAGCGATTGACGCATTCGATACAATTATTAGACACGATATCCTCTTCTCTCGTCGTTCTTAATCGAATTGGCTAAGCACAAGGCGAAGATGATGCCGAGAAGCTGAAAATAAATAAAAAATGATATTCAATGAAAGGAGTAACACATGTTAAACGAAAAAAAAAAAAAAAATTATTCTGCCAGATTATTTAACCTCAATATGCTATCCATACAACTTTCAGCTACTATAGACTCACCTGAACGACAGCAACACCAATGGCAAAACCACCAAGTATATTTCCAGCGTATGTAAGGAAGTCTTTCAGTGCTTCAACACATCCAGTTGTGTAACTGTTATTAACGGTGCAATGACTACCCTCAGAGTTACCACAACAGCTCCAGGGAATATAATTGGAGAAGTCACTGGGTGAGTTAACACCGCAGCACTGCAACTGAGGGGAAGAAAGAAATGTGTGATTCAATAATATGAATGACTTAATATAACAAGCAGATATATTAAAGACTATCGGAAGATTGACAATTGAATTCATTATCAATTATTCGATAGGACTTACACGAATAGTGCTACCCTGATGGTGCATTGACAATTAAGATTTCATTTTACCATATAAATATATACTCACAGATGACTGAACGGCATCGATCGTGGCGGAACTCGCGTTATTCTTGTAGTAATCATTGAAAACAGATTGGTAATTTTCTTTAATATTCAACTCGTCCGCATTCTTGAGAAGTATAAAGGTGTAGATGCCGACAGCCACTTGGATAATCAAAATAGTCAAGAGGAGGACAGCAAACTGAAAGAAGCATATTTTATTAATCACTTCAAGAGTTCGTGTAATGAGACGTCGAGGTTCTCAAAATTTTCACAAAATTAAACTCACCGTTACGACCATGCAGTGACTCTCGCGAATTGCACCGCAACATCCAAAGAACGCTATTACAAATATTATGCTACCGATAACGATAAGCAGTATGGATGGAAGATGCACATTATCTGCCAGAGCGTCTGAGAATTCTGTCAGTTTCAAGTGTATTAAAACACCCACAATAAGAATGCCAAGGCCGCATAGCTGAAAACAAAAATACTCCAATTATTTAAGGAAAACGCAATACAGAACTCTTACAAATCCAATTTTCCGTTAGGTCGCACCAAATTTTTTTTCAATTTCCACAAAAATCATGTTCCGCATTTTCAAATAATACTGTAAAAAACGCGCTGTTTAAAACGTTTTTTTTTTTATTTTCTAAATATGTTTCCCCAGGATACAATTCTAGTTTAACTGCCCGACAACCACACTTGTACATTTAATCAACTTAAGCTGCCTGACTCACTGATAACAGTCATAGTGATAAGCAACGCATGCTATATTTGTCAACCACTTCAAAAATGCCCAATATAATAGAACGGTGAAGCTGTTATGTAAGTTGGTGATAAATGAGAATCGATAAGTCGAATGGAAAAAATTATATTTAACCCTTCAGAGACGATAGCTTCATGCCGCTAGTGACTACGCGAGTCGGCGCATGCGCGCAGGTAAAACTTCATACCGAAACGTCAACAGTAGAAATAAAAGTATTGACGTCACGAATAAATAAAATTCTACAAATTTGAAATATGTTACAAATTTTTGTAGAGCACAGTATTTTATCCTCGACTTACGTTGTAACGACTCGGCGTACCTGAAGAGTTAAATCATCTGTACTTATGTTCAATTCAGTTACAATAATAGAGAACAGTACGGCTATAAGAACTACAGCTGTTATATAGCCAGACAATCTAAACGTACCAGCTGAAGTTATATACGCGTTTCGCATGTATAATGTGAAAGTGCATGATTCATCGAATGACTTCTCATCATCAAGTCCTAATCAAGCTGATACATAAACGCAATTCCGTTCTGCAAAATATATCAAATAAATTACAACTTAACCTTTATGACTCCTAAAAGAATTTTCCGGTTGAACGAGTAACTTGGATATCACATGCATTCGCACTTTCGTCATTGTTAAAGAGCATTACGTGTTTTGTCATTTTGAATATTGTATATATGTGTGTATATATATACTATACTATAAACATATATATTATATATATATATACTATACAGATCTGTCAAGCTGACATGGTCATGGTAGCAGAACAACCGAAAATAAATTTAATAATACTTTGCTTATTAAATTTTATTTAAGTTGTTTCTACCATTTTCGCAGTTAAAAACAGGATATGGAAAAGTTACAATAATAATAATACTGCACATGTAAACATGTTTGCCTCAAATTATTCTTTAATTAAATGCTACCGAACGTGACGATCATTCGTGCTCCGAAACCAGTTATCACTGGAAATATATCATCCTTTTAGCCAGCCAAACCATTGTGCTGGTTCGAAGGGTCACATATGTAGAGTGGGGGGGGGGGGGGGGATTTTGAACT